CGCGAGCTCGGCGGTCGCGGGTATTTTCCGCGTGCATATTACCGGCGTGTGTGCATGGATGAGCGAGCGTATGTTAGAGTGGTTACCGTACTCAAAGTTGTAAACCAGCGCGTCGCGTTGGCGTGTGAGAGTCTTTCATCGGGTAGTATCGTCTTCGCGTCCGCATGAGGTTCACCGATTACGATACCGTGCGTCCTTCCCGGCGTGTGCGTGCACCGTCCGAGAAGAGGGCTTACTCTTAAAACTTTTCCGCCGAGCCTCGCAACGGAATACTCGGCTCAGCTGCGTGAATGAGCGTGCATGACGATTCGCGAGATCCCGACACCGAATCGGGCTGTTTAATTTGCTTGCTAAGTTAGCGGCTTGCTATCGTTCTCTCCGCAGCTATCGCGCCTACTCGATCGAATGGCTTGATCGATTCAATAGCGCAACTATCGTTCTGCTGCGTTATCATTAATTTTCTCTGTCTATTCATAATCTTTCTTCCTCTATTTGAATGTTTTCTTTTATTGTACTGCCTTCGCTCTTCGGCATAATAAACACGCTTATTATTTACTTAGGGGAGACAATTGTGTTAAAGCCCTGCCCTCAAAGATCCCGTTCATCCTCCTGCCAACCGGCCCTAAACCCCCCCCCCCCCCCCTGCCGTTAGGTAGAGCTAGCCAGCCCTTACGCGAGCGAGAGACGGCTCTCGGTTTTTGATGATATTTGGTGCTCACGGAGTTTCGCGGTTTCCGTGTGATTCGCGTTCCCGTTTGCGAAATCGACGTTGCTTTGAAGCACGTCTGGCGCCCAACTTTGTCGCGGCTCTCGATTCTCGTTCGACCGCGTGAGGCACACTCCCGCACGAGGGCCGTCACCGGCCCTCCGATCCGATTGATCCGCCGTTTCTCGGAGTGCGCTCCCGCGCGCACTCCACACATAATCGACGCCGGGGAAAGGCGTGACAAGAATTGGCGCCCAATCGAAAAAGGGCCTTAGAGATTTTCCGTATTTTTCGCGATATTCTTGGGTAGGCAGCTTGTTAACATATGTATCGTTTGGAAGCTGTAGGTGATCATTCCCGGTCGAAAGTTCGCGAAGGTTACGTTCATTGGAATGTGCGTGTTGTTCCGTGTATCGGAAATTTGAGTGCGCGTTTGTTGTTTACGTGACGAGACAGATCGGTCGTACCGTTCGACAGTCTTCTCGTACATAGTGTGTTGTCCTCGGTGCCGGCCGACTTTGTCGGACCATTGTCCTTTGCTACCGCGCATTTCACGTGTGCGCGCTCAAGTGCCTATATGAGCGATTCCGGACAGGATTTCGAGTGGGTTTTCGCTTCCAGTAGAGAGAGATTGCTCGCCGAGTTAGAGAGTAGGAATCTGCCGATGGACGGGTCGACTTCGATGCTCGCCCTCCGTTTACTTCTTCAAGTGAGTGCTTCGCAGGGGAGGCGCGACGAAAGTGGAGGTGGGACCGTCATGTCCGATAACGAGAATTTGCGTTTGCCGTCGGGCGGGGAGACTCGGCCGGATAGCCCCTTCGACGAGATGGCAGGGGCGCGGACACGGATCCGGCCCGCCGACACCCCTCGCTCGGGGAGCTCGGGTGGGGTTGCCGCGACCGCGATGTGTAACATAATGCGGAAATGGAATCTGAAGTTTTCGAGGGCGTCGGGGGAGGACGCCGAAATGTTTTTATTGCGGATTGAGGAGGGGCGGGAGCTAGTACCCGTCAACGAGGAGGATATCTTGCGCTGCCTCCGTTCTTTTTGGAAGGAATCGCCCTCCATTGGTTCCGGGCGAGGCGAGGCCGGTTCGCGACGTGGTCTGCCTTCACGGCCGCGTGGCGCGCGCGATTTGGCGACTCTGACTTCCAGTTCGCGCTTAGGGACGAGATAGCGCGGCGCACGCAGGGGGAGCACGAGCCCGTAGCGAATTATCTTACGTGCTTGACCGCCCTGTTCGACCGCTTGTCGCCTCCGTGGGAGGAGGAAGAGAAGGTCAGTTACGCGCATCGCCAGATGCTACCCCGCTTGCAGACCATGGTGAATCGAGATGCGGTAGAGGACCTCGACGCGTTAAAGCTATTAGCCGCAAGGGCGGAGGGGTGCGTTGCGGGCCGCACAGAGCTTTCGGGCTCCTCCCCCACCGGAAAGGTCTCTTTTTCAGGATCTAGCGTATCGACCGCCGAAGACCGCGGCCCGCTAGGGGCAGGCGGGCGGCGCTGCCGCGCTTAGCGTACCTGCTACCGGGGAGACCGCCGCAGGCTCGACGAAGCCCAAGGGGAAGCGCGCGGAGGCCCGCGCATCGGCGGCAACCGAGAGCGGCGCGTCACCCGCGGGGCCCTCCGCGTCGACCGCCGAAGGAGCGCGAGTTGGTTCGAATAAGTGCTGGAATTGCGACGGGGTGGGCTACTTTGCGCGCGATTGCGAGGCCGCCGCGCACATGCACTGTTACCGATGCGGTAAGGCGGGGGTCACGCACGTGTTCAACGTGTACAAAAAACGAGTAGGGGGATCGGAACCGAGGGGCGAGCCGACTCCGCCAATAGAAGCCCCCGTCGGATCGAGCACCGCGGAGATTCGCGACGTTGTGTATAATGCTCTCGGGCCGACCGGTCCCTCGACCTTGCGCTTCCTTCGCCTTAGTATTGCGGGACATGATGTCCGTGCCTTGGTGGTCTCGGGGTCGAATCGTACGTTTTTTTTGGTCCGGAGGCCATTAGCCTCGTGAGACGCTTGGGGTTTTCGTTTCTCCCGGCCGGGGGCTGACGAGCGACTACCGCTACCGGACAGGAGACGAGAGTGCGGGGAGAGGTGGAGGTTCTGATAAACTTGCGAGATAGAAGGTGTGTGATTAGAGCGTGTTCGCTTCCTACGTTAGCGCTACCATGTATCTTCGGCATGGATTCGTTAAAGGCCTTCGGCGTGTTTGTGAATTTCGCGCGAGGCACGTAGGGTTTTGAGGACGATCCTTCGAGCCGATATCCGTTTGAGGGAGGAACGACGAGTTCGCTTACCAACGCGCTAGCCGCCCCGCCGGAAGGGGAAGCGAGGACCCCGCTCGAGGAACGCAGACCGAGTACCGCCTGTGACCCCGCCGAAAGGAGAGAGGGGGGGAAAGGAGAAGGCCCCCTTGGGGGCGACTTAAGCGAGCTATCAGAGGGGGAACGCGGGCGCATAGAAAACTTCTTAAAATCAGAGATAACGGGCCACCCCGAGAGATCGGGCACGATGAAGCTAACGGAACATCGTATCGATGTGGGAAATAGCACGCCGATTAAGCAAAGATACTACCCGGTGTCCCCAAAAATACAGGAAGCAATATACGCGGAGGTCAATAAGATGTTAGAGGCCGGCGTGATAGAGCCGTCAAATAATGAGTGGTCAACGCCGAGTCATGATAAAGAAACCGAATGGAACATACCGCTTCTGTCTAGATTTTCGAAAATTGAACAGCGTGTCAAGAAAGGACGCCTACCCGCTACCGTATATGAACGCGATCTTAGATAAATTGCGAGCGGCCCGGTACATCTCAACCATCGATCTCAATCAGGCCTACTTCCAAATCTCGCTAGAAAAAAACAGCCAGGAATTAACGGCGTTCACCGTGCCGGGTAAGGGTCTAATTCATTTCACACGCATGCCTTACGGGCTAACAGGTGCGTCGGCAACCTTTCAGCGATTGTTAGATCACTTAATCGGACCCGAAATGGAACCACACGCGTTTGCATATTTCCGATATCGTGATCGTGACAGCAACATTTGAAGAGCACCTCGAATGGTTAAAGCGGGTTTTCGAAGCGGGTATCAAGAAAGCGGGTCTTACAATTGTAACAACCTAACTTTTTAAGCGCGGACGTAGCTCGTCGGAGCCTCTCGGCGCGGGGCTTTAAAAGAGGTTCGAGCAGGAGAGATGAGATGCAGTTACGCGGGCGGTTGATTATAATGAGCACAGGCGCAGTGAAAGTTAATAACAATCTTTATTATGACATTAAAAAATGAAATATTTACACATGACAGAACAATTAATTATATAGATACTAGACAACACACGTACGCTAATTCGATCGAGGATGCTGTTGCGGACTCGTATACACAATGTAATGCGTGCGTATCACGCGACGGGTCGCTCCGGATTCGTCGGTCGCGGGACGCGGAAGCGCGCCAGCCAATCCGGTTATCGCGGCGCGATCGCGGTACGCGGCGCGGCGATTTGCGAAGCGTCGCTTCCCCGATGCAATGGGGAAGCGCGGAGTAATCGAGGGCCGTCGACCCCAAGAATGTTTGGGAGGGTGGAGAACACTCCACCCTTAGCTCGTGTCGAGGCCCGCGGCTTTTATGGTGATCGGTACGGACGGTAAGTGGAGTCGTAAGCGGCACGTGGTGTCGTTGTCGGGAACGCCCGACGGTGACCGAGAACGATCCCTCGACCACCTTTTCTCACGATCACGTTTTTGGCCGGAGTGGAATCGGGTGGAGGAGCGGGTAGTGTATCGTTACCGAGAACACTCGGCAGTGACTGAGAACAAATCCCTCAACCACTCTGGTTTACGATACTCTGGTGAGTCGGCTTTCGCGGCGCTGTCGAGAACGCTCGACGGTGACCGGAAACTGTCTCCCGACCGCTCTTGTCCCTTGAAATGCCAGGAGTAATTTTCGAGGATCGGTTTCGAAGTAAGGCTCGGAGAAGCAAAAAGGAGTCTGTTAATCGCCTCGTCTTTTATACTAACTGTCGCTGCCGCTCGTATTGTTCCGGAGTAATTCGGCGCTTTCCGCTAGTGAACAATACGAGCGGGGGTTGACGCGGTTCGGCTCGGTTCGCGCCTGTTCGCCGGTCTTCGGCGGAGCGGCGGTTTTCCGTGCGTTGCCTCGCGATGTTTCGCGGGTCACGGATCGCCGGTGGTACCTGTGAATTTATTTTTGGTTTGTTAAAAATAATGTGGGCGCACCGCGCCCTCCTCGCTGTTGCCCCTGCTAGCGGGGTGCAGCGGCATCCGACGGGAGACCGGTCGGGAACGATGCCTTTGCGGGTACATCGTTATACAATTAATCCCGAAAAGAGTAAGTTTTGTAGATCACAGGTCAAATATCTTGGATTCTTAGTGCAGAAGGAAGGGCTCACGGTAGACACGGAAAAGACTACCTCCATTCTCAATTACCCCGCCTCGCAACATCCAACAGTTACGTCGCTTTATCGACATGGCCTCGCGGTATAAGCGTTTCATACCGCAACGCGCCGCGCGACTGGAGCCATTGACGCGTCTTCTTAAAAAGAATCACTCTTGGCAGTGGGGGGACCCTCAAAAGCAGGCTTTTGAGGCCGTCAAACTTTGCCTTGTAACTCCACTTACCCTTTCGTGTCCGGATTTCGAGCTACCGTTCGTTTTACAAACCGATGCGAGTTCGGTTGGATTGGGCGCGGTTTTGACGCAGAAAGTAGGGGACGCCGAACACGTGATCGCGTTCGCGAGTAGGGCTTTATCGGACGCGGAAAAGAAATATTCGACGACAGAACAGGAGTGCCTGGCCGTCGTGTGGGCCATTAAGAAATTTCGACTCTACTTGGAAGGGTATAAATTCACGGTGGTGATCGATCATAGCAGTCTCCGCTGGTTGCACAATTTAAAGAACCCGACGGGACGCTTGGCGAGATGGGCGTTGGAGCTGCTCGAATACGACTACGAGATCGAGCACCGAAAGGGGACGATGCATCACGTGCCGGACGCACTCTCCCGAATTTACGAACCACACGGGGACATGTGCGCGCTGGCGACTACCGAAGATGACTGGTATAAAAGGAGGGTCGCAGAGATACAGGATAATCCCCGAGGAATAAGAGGAAGATCGAGGGCGGGCAGTTGTACTGGCATAGGCCGCGCACGGTGATATCGCAGATCGTCGAGGACCGAAACGCGTGGAAGAGGGTCGTGCCGCGGGAGCAGTGCCGCGAGATCCTTAGAGAGAACCACGATTCACCGAACGCCGGCCATTTGGGAGTGGAAAAGACGTACCAATGCGTCGCGACGAGGCGTACTGGCCGCAATTGTTTCGAGAGGTAGCCGAGTATGTGCGTCGCTGCGATACCTGTCAGAGAACCAAGGTTGAGCAAGACGTGCCGGCCGGGCTGATGGGGCAGCATATGATAGGGGAGCCGTGGATGGTCGTCGCGGCCGATATTATGGGGCCCCTCCCTACGAGCAAGGCGGGTCACTCCTACTTACTCGTGCTTCAGGATCTCTTTACCAAATGGATAGTGTTGGCCGCTGCTTCCTTCCACTGGCCGGAAGCGCTTGCCGGCTCCGCTCCGCCTGTCTCCGGTCCGCGGGATTCTTCCGTGATTGTCTTCCCTCCAGTGGTTTCTTCGCTCGGCGAGGTTTTCGTAATGGTTACATACGGAATAAATTCGCCGGGGATTAGAAAAAATGAACTTAACGCTAATATACGGCCCCTTGGAGATTTCGCTCGCTCGCGTGTTCTGGCTCGGGTCAGGCGCGAATCCGCGCTTTGTGACGACGAAGGGTCGCTGCTAAGCTGCAGCGAAACTGCAACGTCACAATATATATAGTATATATATATATTATATATATATATATATATTAAATATTACAATAGTATACATATTTTATATATTATACATTTTATACATACTATACATTTTATACATATTATACATATTATACATATTATACATAATATACATTGTATACATATTATACATATTACATATTTTATATATATATATATGTGTGTGTGAAATGCGTTTTATTTTCACCGGTAATGTCCCCATGGCAGCATGTCGGTGGAATCTGATACGATATACCGCGCGGACTAAGAGCAATTTTCGTTTCCGATATCGTGTACACCTCACGCAATTTTGATTTAATGCACGACTCTCTGCGCGTCATTTCGATTGCGTCGTTCAAGCAGCGTGTGTAATCCTCAAACGTTATGGATTTTACCACAACGCTGCTCTTGACACCCTTTGCCTTTTTCGTATCTCTCTTTCCTTGCACACGTAAAGCGTACATTTTCGCTCTAAGCCCGACGAAATCAGTCATGATGGCACCATTGTTCTCATCTTACATTAGGCCTGGAACTTTTTTATTAGCGAGCGGAATATCGTACACATTATCGATAGAGTAATCACTAGTGTCAAATCTATTATTGATGTCGCATTTCATGATATCGTAAACATCATCACATTCCACATGGTATATGAGACTGTCAGTATCGGTATACATAATTTTGCATTTATCGCGAAACAGCGGTGCCATGTACTCGTGGTGAAATTCGTACAAACACGTTTTAGATATATCGAGGATGCACATACCCACGTATATCGGTTTGTCAAACTTCACCTCGAGCTTACGCAGTTCTATCGCGACTAGATTCTCCGAAAAGACGCTACAACTGTGGAAGTTTGGTTTGGCGATCATTGCCTCCGCACCGTATCTACCTTCCCATTTTGTTAATAATTTTACGTCGACGCGATCGCGCACATTCTCCATGGTTTTGCCAAATACCGCGTTATTCATCAGTTTATATAAATTTTTCTCAAAATCATTCTTCGCCAATGTTCTAAATTTGGTGTTTAATAATCGCGAAGCCATGGAGCTTGCGATACGGTGAACCTTTGCGATACGGAGACCATGACGAGTACATTGCTGCAGGTTGCAATAGTGGATGACGTAACGTTGCTTATCGCATAATGTTGTGAGGAGCTTGTCCTCGCGCTTGCCGGGTGGTTTCTCGCGCGTCGGACAGAACGGTAGGTCAGTGTGCGCGTCGTGGAGATGTTGAGGATACTACGAATCCACCTCGAGAATATAGCCTGTCGGTGAATCTAACACGATGATCGTAAAGTTGAAATTGTGCTCGTCATCGACCCATCGAAAATCGGCGTAAGGCAGTGGTTGACACATTGCCCAGCCGTAGAGGTTGTTGACGTCATAGTACATCAAGTACGATGACGGTTTCGATGGATCGTACGACGGCATATATTTATTGTTAGCTCGCGCGTATCTATTTGAGCACTGGCTCAGACCACCGCGTATTCCGCGCTCGACAATGACCATGTCAACGTCTGTGAGCAATTCAAATTTTACACCTGTATGCTTCAACATGGCATCCCATGTGAAGCCCGGTAAGGTGTAATAGTACGCGGGGTCGAGCCTGTAACTCGCGACGCAACTGTTGCGGAAATTTTCAAAGACGTCAGCCAACAACAATACATCTGTTTTTAGATACAGATCGCTATATTCACCGAGCGTTTGGATGGAGAACCGCTGCCACACGTTGACGGCGTGCGCGTAATCACTCTCAGATACCATGTTGTCCGTCAATGAACTGTAAAATGACTCGCGAGGCGGCAAGCAAAATTCGTTCAATTTTTCGCTGCAGTCAATGTACTCGTACGGAAAGATGCCCTTTCGCGTCAAAAGATTAAAATCTTCTTCCGATAAATCGGAAAATTCGCATCGTAGCGAGCAGTACCCTCAACTTATCATTGTTGAGAAAAGATGCCAATTTATCTAAACTAGAAGCGAGAAATCTATATGAATCTATGAAGTGTAATTGTATACAATTCTTTTGATCGATTTTGGTACTGTCAACGTGTTTGATGAATGAGATGTATTTTTCTTTAGTTATCGGTAAAAGATCGACGCGTCCTTCGTACGCGGTGGTAATTTCCTTGATAATAAAATAAGCGTCGTAGCCAGATAAATTATGAAAAACTACGGGTATGCAATGCGAATCCTTATAATTTAGATTGCAATTTGAGTGCGCGGGGCCTTTGTATCATCCGGTTAAGTGGCAGTGATCGTGTACCTGCGCATCGTCTGGTGTAAACGGTTTCTCGCATGCGTGACAATGCGAGGCGCTGTTAAATTTTTCCCAGTCGTCACGCGTGAAATCTGTCATGGGAATATTAGCTGAAATTATCGACTGTACACTGTGCGCTAGATTTTTCAATTCTTCCGCGAACCACGCTATACAGTCTTTGTCACGGCGAAATCGGTAGCCTGACAGTGAGCTGTCGTAGAAGCAGTGCACGTAATACCCGATACTGAAGACGTTATGATGTTGGTACATGTGCGTAGCGGATGTGAATCACTATTCATCTTTTCCAATGTGCACTCAAAATCGGCGTAGACTATGAACGGGACGTACTCCTTCCTACAGTGATTGTGGGAGCTCAACCACTTGTCGTCCTCGCTCGGGTAGCCTTATCGCACAATCGTTCAATTTCTCACAATCCTCACTGTGGGTCTCCAGTTTTGCACTTGAGTTAAAGTAGTGGAGGCATCTGAAAAAAAAAATTATTATTATTATTACTTTATTATTATTATTATTATTTATACGTACCTATCGCAGAAATATTTCTTGTTCTTGTTTCTGGTAATATGTGATCTCACAAGGCGGGACAGATCATTGATCAGCGTGAAATGTCCCGCGCTATCATCCTCCACGTACAAGAGGTTTACGTGCTTGTTCCTCTTTCGGTCGGCGAGTCGTATCGGCACGATCCCCTTCTCGATGGCATAGACATTGATGGAAATGTCATTTAGAGTTTCAAATTTTTTTATTTGATGTAACGTTATCGGAAACTGAATAGCTTGGAGATTCAGTACCAATGAGTAGTGCGGATACGATGATTCCCTGTCCACATATTTTTGGGCTGGATGCAGAGCTGCAACCACCGACCACGTGAAACACGCATTGTCTGTGGATCGCACGTTGATCACCGCTCTCTTCAGCATAATTTTTCGCGGGAGTTTGATATGACATCCCGCGCGCAGAGGATTCAATTTATTCGCGTTAACCGTTAAATTGAGGATACGTGACAGTGCCCACCCGCTGTCACGTTCTTGAAATTCTTCGAGCGATGCTAGAATTGGCTTGACGACGCGCGACATGTACCAATCGCGCAAATGTGTGTATTGATATAGTTCATAGTTCCGGGTGGTGATACTCTTGTTCGCGCGTTTGTCATTGGCCACGTATTCACCGTTAAATACTGTATTTATTTTTAAAGAGTCATATCTCTGTAAAATACACTGTACACGCTCGAGCACAATTTCACTCTCGTCTTCGAAGAATCGGCGAGGTTCGATATAATTAGAGTTTATTACCGCGCTTGTTAGAATCCGGCTTTCGAACGCCGTTTCGATCTCGCGCCATCGAAGTCCATATCCTGCGCCTACGTGCACAAATCGTCCGCGCACCGAATCCTTCAAGCTTTCAAGTCGCGCGATACATGCGATCATCGATTGTCTATTACTGGTCGATAATCGCGGACGTTCAATACGGCTCTGCTCTTCCAGAGATTCTATAAATTCGTCGCATCGCTGTTCCCACGCAACATACTCTTCTCTTGTATTTAGCAGGGTAGCTTGCTCAATCAAATCTCGCTCCATGTTGTCACTTTTGCTGTTAGATTGACTAATGACGCGATGTGCCTAAATCTTTACATTTTTATACCATTATTTATGCTATTTATAATGATGATGTCATCGTGAAACATTTCAAATGTCCTTGAAAAATTCTTTCATTACGTTAAATCTAACATGGTTGTTGTACAATTGTATCATATTGAGCATCTTTTTCGCAACCGCTGCATTTTTGTGGTATCAAATTACATTGATGATTTCATCATCGGATGTATCTAAAATCTTTTGTTGCAAGGTATGCATTTTTGCAGGTGTTAAATTGATGATGTCATCATGAAACATGTCAGGACACGTCGAATGTCCATGAAAAATTTCTTCTATTACGCTAAATCAAACATTATTGATGCGGAATTACATCATATTGCGTAACTTTTTCGCAAACGTTGCATTTTTGTGGTATCAAATTATAATAATGGTCTCATCAGGCGGGTCTTTTGCATAAATTCTTAATACTGGGATGGGTAAACGGAGGTTTACAGCTCCATACAGTAGCGTTGGATGGAGGGAGGGAGATTAAGACTAAAAATTGGTGCAGTTGACTACTCCGTCGTCATTAGTGATTCAAGACTTTGTGATTGAACTTGTTAAAATACGCGATGTGGACCCTGTGAAATTATCTTTGTGTGATAAGTGTTTATATATGAAAAAGACCATGCTCTTCATGTTTGAACTGGAACAATGTGTTGAGCATGTATATTTCGATTTGTGTCAATGTATCAATAGTGTAAGCGATAAATTTAAATATTCCATTACACATTTACGTCAAAATTGTATTATGAACAAATGCGATGCTATAAATATCTTGCGTAAGATTTATGATAAGAACTCACATATTGAATGTGAATTGATTTTATATGCTTCAGATAGTATTGTATATCATGCGTTACGTGAGTAATAAATGTTTATTAACATTCTGCATATCTCAGTATTTATCATTATGCATTCCATCCTTCCTACGCTCAGCCACCTTACTTCCACGGTATCGTATTACATCGCGCTACGACAGCGTTATCGCGCTCTTAAAATCTTTGCGAGCGAGAAAAAAAATACTGCTGCATAAGAAGAAGATACCGCATAAGAGTGAGAGAGAGAGAGAGAAAGTATACACGGTGAGTATACGTGGTAAGTACAGCGGGGCCCGCGCTCAGCGGCGGCGGCGGCGGCGGCCCGCGCTCGGCGGCGACGGCAGCG